CTGCGGCGAAGAGGCACAAGTCATTCCGGCAACTTCGTGTTTGGCAAAAAGGACCAGTCGACATGTCTAAAATTGCAGAAGGGTCGAGACTGTAAACCCACCCAACGCACTCACCCCCGAAGTAGTGTTGCAGGACATGACAAGAGGTTCGAGATGAGCAGTCTGCTGACGCCGTCATGAAGTTCTAGAAGGGCATAAGGTAGTGGCGAACACTTGCGGCGAATGAAAAGGGCAGATGGCGTGAAAAGGGCACTCGACTCGGCGAGCGAGTTGCAAGATACCATGGTAAGGGCGAAAGAGTGCGGCGGTATGATGACGTCTTCAGCAACAAATAGTTTGTCCCCGGTTTGAAGAGCATAATTTAACGGCGCGTCGCCAAACACTTCAAATTCTACCTCAGCGCGAGAGCAGTTGATGACGGCCTTGTTAGCGGAGAGAAAGTCCCTACCCAAAATGAGGTCATGGGAGCAGGAATCCAAAACTAGTAATTCAAGGACATAGATGAGGCCATCAATCGCGATGCGAGCAGTACAGGCAGCGGCTGGCGTGACGTGCTCTGTGCTGGCTGTACAAAGGGATATACTTGCTACTGCCGTCATAACCTTTTTGAGCAAGCGGCAGAGTCTGGCACTGATCACTGAAACTGCAGCACCAGTGTCGACAAGAGCGAGTGCAGTGACGCCGTCCACATATACGTCGAGAACATTCGTTGGGAAAGAGAGAGGCCTTGGTCTTTTCGCGGGCGATGCAGTGCCTGCCTCTGGAACTGCGGCAATCAGTTTTCCCGCTCCGGCGATGAAGGACGACGACGCATCAGGGATCGGGAGCGGCGTCGTGGTGATGGCGAGCGACGGTTAACAGGAGAGTGGTGGTCGGTGTATGATGACATCTGGTCAGGAGGCTGAGATCCTGTGAACGAAGGGCGCGGTGGCACATAAGGGGCAGGTTCGAAGCTCTGGTAGTAGCTCTGGTGGTAGACAGGGACGCGTCGACGGCAGTATCGCGCTATGTGGCCAGGTAGGCCACAGGCAAAGCATATGGGCCGATTGTCCACTGTACGCCATTGTCCACTACTCTGGGGGGACCTTGGCTGAGCGAACCAAGCAGTAGTAGGTTGCGGTGGCACGGCTGATGACACTGACGTAAGTCTGAAGAGGTGGTCGAGCGGCCACTTCAGCATAGCTTAGAGGTGCATTAACCTCGGCACAGGCAACGGGGGTCGGCAACGGTGAAGCGTCACGGGCAGATGGCAGAGCCGCGCAAACTTGCTCCTGGATGGCCTGGCGAAGGTTTGCTGGAAGAGGTGACTGTGGTTGGCCGACTGTCGATAGCAGCGATAGCTGACGAGCGACTTCAGCACGAACAAACTCTTTGATCTGCGATAGCAGGGACTCATGGTCATATGTGGTGTTAGGCTTGAGAGTGTGTCATCCGCGACATTAGGGCGTCGCGTGAGAAGACGCTGTCGTTGGAGCTCTTCTAAACTCTGACACAACTCGATGAGCTCAGAGACGGTGACAGGGTTCTTCGAGAGCAGCATTTGAAAGGCGTCGTCGCAAATGCCTTTCATGATGTGTCGTACTTGTCAGTGTCCGCCATCGTTGGGTCGACACGCCGGCAGAGGTCGAGGATGTCCTCAATGTAGCTAGTGAATGTTTCGCCAGTTTGTTGGAACCGGCTTCGTAGACGTTGTTCTGCGGGAAGTTTGCGCACACCAGGGCGTCCAAAACATCTGCGATGCAGGCTTTGAAGGTCGTCCAGGTGGGGATATCCGCCTCATGGTTTCTGTACCACAGCTTGGCAACATCCGTTAAATAAAACATCACGGCACCAAGCTTTGTGGGATCGTCCCATTTGTTAGTAGCGCTGGCTCATTCATAAGATTCCAGCCAATCCTCAACGTCTTTCTCGTCGGTGTCGCTGAAGATCTCGGGATCTCGCAAGAGCTGGGCACTGGGACAGCTCCTGCGTGGTGAAGCCGGTGGGGGTGTGAAGACAGCGTCGTCAGGCATGACAGACAGCAGCTTTCCGCTATGCAGTTCCAGGACTGGGGAAGACCGCAGCACTCTCCAGCAAAATATAATGTAAATGCAAGGTCAAAAGTGGTATCAGCATCTGTACAAAAGCAGCAAGAGCTGGCCGGGTGTACGGGCAGCATCGCAGCAACAACCAGGCAGTCTTAGCTCGTGCCTCGCGCCAACGTGTCGATGTCGCTTTAGTATGGGCAGTCCTCTTCACTATATATATATATATATATATCTATATAGATATATATATAGAATATATATGAGTCCCCTTTTGTATTTTCAAGTCCTAGGTGCAGTAAGTGTTCTCAACATTGAGCCATTTTCTAAACTGGTTCAAGTATTACACTTTCGTAGTTTTAACTTGTCAGATTTTCGTTCAGGCAGCTATTCAACTTGTACAGCAAGAAGGGATATTTGTAACTTTAATTGTATGTGAACATTGTAGCGCAGTTTCTATATTATAATCTTTTATGCAAAAAACTTGTGAAGTAATGTGTTTTACCCTGTCACTCCTTTTCTTTCAAATATCAGAGTTTTAGCTCAAGCTTTGCACTTGGTGAGCCTTGCAGGCTACCTCAGAAACAAAAATAAGACAATAGTATTACGTTTGTACAGCCATTCTAACTCTTTCTTTTGTTTCCCTTACATCTTCTCGATCTTCTCCGTTTCATAATAATTAGTGCTAGTTGAAGCTAACAAATTATCGAGTAAAACGGCTTGCATATGGCTTGTGAACAAGTAATAACCATGAGCATTGGTGCTCGTATATAGTAGTGCTGAGCGAAGCGATCACTGCACTTTATTAGTTCAGCTGACTGTGCGTGGTAATTTACCTTGTTTTCACTAAGTACTTGAGTTCTTGCGTGCACAACGCCATTGCTCGATTAGCTGTGAGAACAAGTTTCTTTTTGTTTCTTCTTCTTGTGCCTGTTTCATTTTGCGCGTTTTTGCGCATGCACCAATGTTTTCAAGCTCTACCATTAGAGCCAGGCCACGCTGAATGTCGCTCGACAGTTCAGTTTTTGCATTCTCCTGTTGCCCCAGGCACTAACACAATGCCTAAAGGTCAGTAAGCTTCGTTCCACATCGCATTATTAAAGCTAAGTAGACTTCAAGTCCACCTTGTGGAAACCAGCGCAAAAAACTGCAGCGCGTAGCAGATGCTCCTAACTTCTGCGCCCCCGCTCGGGTGCAAAAAACCTACGGTCCAGTGCAACAGTGGCGCGGCGGTGGAAGTTCCCCGCAGCAGTCCCATGCACGCAGAAGCCAGCGTTTTGGACACTCCCCTACTCGAGGTCACTCTAATTTCGGGCGCGCCGGGCGGCACCGACGCTGCATCTGATAGATAAGCTGGCAAAGCGAAACTTCTGTACTGATTATGAGTAAACGTGCTGCGATACTCACTTGTATAGAGCCTATGTGCTATTTGCAGTCTCATTATGGCTCATATTGTGAATCTATAATACACTTGCAGCGCTGCACTTCGTGTTTTTTCTGCTGAATGCTAGATAGCAACGGCGCGAATTGGTGAGATAATCTGCATGACAGGCTGTTTTCTTCTGCACATACGATAAGTTCGAAATACGGAAGGAACATAATGTAAGAGTGAAATGTTATTTAATTTGTCTTGCTATTTATCCGACAGAGAAGCCCTGAATTATTCTTTGTCATGTGTGTCACGATACCCGCGCATGGGTATTGTTCGGAGTAGCACAAGACAGCCGATTGCAATCATAATGAAAAAAAACATTGGCCAAAGATAAGGTTACCGCGGGAAAAGATAACCAGGAAGCGATAAACCAGCATCTTGCTATGCCAGGCACTTCTAAGTCTTGACTCGGCCAGCTCCGGTGAGAACAGTGGCCACGTACTGCATTCCGATATATGTGACTGTTGTACACGAGAATGGCTCACCATCGCCTCTTCCATTAAGAGCCGTAGACGCTCCAGTTTTCATCTAGGAATTCTAGGCTATCTTTGCTGAGACATGCAACAGTACAGTGCCAAAGGAAAACAATGAAGCTGCGGCACAAACCATTTTCGGAAAAGTGGTCGAGAGCTTCGAAAACGACCGCTTTCGACCTCTAGGGATATCAACTAATCTCGCAGCCGTTCACTGGAGGTTTCACCTGTAGACTGTAGACCGTTCACTGTAGACCAGCGTTCTAACACATTGAATTTTGCATGAAGTGCAACAGCTGCATAAAAATGCACATTCAGATCTACAGCCAGCTATCAACAATGCGGTTCGCACAAGTGGTGATGCAGACGACACGAGACGCCGGCGTGCCCAGCTCTCCCGAAACCCTCCTGGAAAAGCACGTGACTTCCGACACCACTTTTCGCTCTGCAGCTCACATTGCGAGGGCCTTTCCTTAGCTTTCCTTCCTCTATGAAATGCATCACTTGATGCAGCTCGGCGCCGGCATTCAGTGGCCATGCCAGTTAGCCGTGTTGTTTGGGTGTGTTCAATAGCCACTCTAGACATCTGAATAGGCAGCTAAATGAACGGCAACCTTCTTGAGTACCATTCGAATTCTCACGTGGCCAGCAAAACAGACAGCTTTGACAAGACAGCATCGTAGATAAGAACGATGGAGGCTACTTTGCTGTCCTGTCTAAACAAGATGGCATGTCAGCGAAATGCTCGGGTTTCACCTGAATGGTTGTCTGCACAAATGCAGATGCCTTTGCAAAGGCTGAATGTGAGTAATGTTAACTTTTTCATATAATGGAACACGAAATCAGGTAAAGAAATGAGAGTTACGGTTGTTTATTTTAGCTTGTCCTTGAAGCGAGGGTGCGTCTTGTCGCTTAGACGCCATCCAGACGTGGTCCAGTTCTCCAAAAATGTGCTTTTTGCTATCTTCTAAGCTGTCAATCTATACTGTCTACGGTGTCTGAAATTGGAACACAGCCTCTTTTCCTTAACTGTTGCATTTTTTCCTTCATGCCCAAAGTGAGCTGTGCTATAATCGTACGAACTGGGCTACCCTCTTAAGGCTGTTGTCTGCAATACCGAATCAAAGCTTTCTGGGATTCTGAATTCACAGAAATTGCTGATGGAGTCCGCCTCATGGTTTCAGGTCAGTGCTAATTTACATGACTTACCACTCAGTTTATTTGCTGACACCGCGTTCAACTGAATAATTGGGAGCTTCTGAGTGGTTTTTACCTAATTCGATTCATCCAGGATATTACTGTCAGTAATACCCCACTGCTACTTTCGGTGTTTATTTAAGTATTCAACAGCAGTGAACGTTGGAAGACAGTGAATTTCAGTGAAATCCTTGTTAGAAGAAGTCGTCCTTTTTGAGTTGATGTGGTCAGGTGATTCTTCTTTCTGATGTGATCAAGTGGAATTCCGTTAAAAAGTGTTCACATTGAGACGACACTCAGTCGATTGGCAGACTGCCGGCGGTAACCTTGTCTGTGTCAGTACCCGGATCCTGATGACAACTGTCTACAAACTTTTCTGGCGAATACAGTCAAGTCCACAAATAACGGCCCCACTCAAAACGAACCTTCGCTTAAAATAAACAATATCCACTTGACCGTGAAAATATACATTGGTTCAATGGCACAAAATCGCACTGACAACAAACGATCTGAGCGTCGCTGATCGGTTACAGCGAACAAAGTCAGCGGTCTGCCGACTTCCAGGGAAACCATTTCAACCACCGATCAGGCATCGGCGAGTTGCCCATACATTCTTATTGTTAAAACGCTGACCCATGCCTCCGCGACCCTCTAGTTGCCGCTTTCCCCAACCCATGGAGGAAGGAAAGCTGTTTCCTCTCTCCATGCCCTGACTGCTTTTTGTTAAGCACCCCTCCGTCCTTTCTCCCCCCCGCTATTCTGAGCACCCCGCATCGCCAGACGAGGCCGGTGTTTTTACACTGCCACTGATCTTCGAAAAATCGGTCGGCCATCTACCCTGTTTTTGATCGCTGATACTTTCGTTGGCGCCGCCAGCGTGGAGTGACCAAACCATTTGCCTACATCGTCGGCCACCGACTGTATCCGATAGTCTGCATCTAGTGCACACGCGTACGCTACCCCATCGACTCTGATAATTTGCAATTTCTTTCGTGTTCAGGATTTGTTCTCACTCACTTCGCACTCGGCTCAGCATGCTTTCCGCGTGCGTGCGGAAGCGCGAGAACGGCTGTTGATTGCGTGGAACGAATCGCGAAATATCGAAGTTTGTGAGGCCACGCAAGCCTGCCGGCGCAACAAAACGATTTTACCACGACCGCCGATTCTTCGAACACCGCCGCTCGCACCAATTCAGGCGATCATGCTTTGACGTCTGCGCGCGCAGGCACTCTCTCTAAGTTTTCCTACGTGCGAGTTTCGCGGACCTTTCAAGCAAGCTACCCAACTTGCCTCCTTCCCATGTGTTTTGGTTTTCAAGATCGCCCTCCCGCCGCATTCTTTCCTTTTTTTATCGCAACTACTTGCCCTTCTCTCGCAAGTCTGCTCTCCTCTCTTGATCGCAACCCCGTCGCCTGTCTCCTCCGCTCCTCGATGCCCGCTACGCTGGCTCGAATTAGTTTCGTTTTCTGACTGCAAACGGACCCAGAGCTGTTCTACGGGTTCTGGCATGTGTGTCGCGTGTGCGCGTCTTGCTCACTCTTAGTATGCGTGTGTAGCCATGATGGCCAACGGGAGGACTAGCACGCTTTTTCCTGCCGCTCAACAAAACGTCGAAAGTGTGACCGCTTGGCTTGAGCGTAATCCGCGCGTTAGGTGCTGCGTAGCGGAGCGCTTGCTCATAGCTGTTGACCACCTGGGCGCCAACTTGCCGCTTCGGGCGTCCCGATATTCAGCTGTGGAGATGGTGAATATTTCGTGGGCGGCGATGACGGCTACATGCGCGCCAAACTGTTTTCGCGAGGCCGACTTCGTCGACGTCAGGCACGATGCAGAGCCTGAAGCTTCTGAACTACGGCGGCGATTTGTGGCACCATGTCGTCGACTCCTACCTGAGAGAGCGGGTGGGACATCTGTTGTGATGGTTTAATTACGGCCGATGATGATGCTGACACTGCGGAACCATACACGGATTGAGGCATCGTTAATTAAGTATGTGGCAAGAGCGATTTGGAGGAATTGGATTGCGAGAATGACGAAACTTTGGAGCCAGTGCCTCATGCAGCTTACGCCATGGGCCTCGGCGAACGAGCACCCTACCGTTTTAAATGAACTCAAGACCGCCCTTATCACTTCTGCTCTTCGAAACACGTGCATCACGGACTTTTTGAGGCAAAAAAAGTTTGCTTTCACTTGCAGTTTTTCAAAAGCTGTGTTTCATTTACTATGAACTTCAAGATACAGCGAACGAATGCCGCGTCACGCTCAGGTTCGTTATAAGCGAGCTCGACTGTGTACCATCTACACCTCGTCATTTTCCTGGGAAGCTTTGACCGATTCTGCCACACGTTACTGCACATAGCTGGAAATTGTGAGAGGAGCTTTGTGGATGTGAAGCTAACCATGGCTCGACCTGCTGGTCCTTTAGGAGACAGAGTCGCTTGCGGTGTTGTGCCCATATACGGATCAGAAAACGATTGCGTGACACTGAAATGAGCATACGCAGCAAGATTTTAGCTATTAAACAGTGGCAGTATTCGCAGCTGGTGAGGACCTCAGCTGGTGACCGAAAATGCAGAACTACAGGGAAGTGCTGGCAGTTCTGTTGGCAGTTCTGCATGGGAGTTCTGTTGTGAAAGACCCATTGTCTCTCGTAGATTTCTTGAGGACAGACCCTGGTGGCACAGCTTGATGCTTTTGGTGCTGGCAGTCGAGCTTTGCTTTGACGTCGCATCAAGAAGTGACTTCAGGTCCCTGGGTGTATCTAATCTAGCTGACCGCTGCAAAAATTAAACGTTGCGAAAGGTCTAGCAATTTTTTCGCTGCTTGCACTGCAGGCTACATCGTGCCATTATCGCAAAAGTAATATGGACTTGGCATTACATGGACGATTCCGAGCTCTATCAGAAAATAGCGGAACCAAGCTCTGTTGAAAGGTGGTGCATTATCGCTGCGTAGCTCAATGGGAATGCTGTGGGTCGCAAAAACGAGCATGCGTGCATTGCTTGAAGCAGGTTTTGAATATATAGATTGGCTTGCACTGATTGTCATTGTTTCAGCCCTTGTACTTTTTAAATACAGTACGTGACTTAGAGAACTGGTGTGCCAGTGTTCATACTGGGCCTTCCCTTCCGTTCATGGGCGCATGGTGTAACAAACTCCGTTTGCTTGGCATTGTGACTCCAGACCACCGTCGACGTGCGACTATGTGCATCTGAGCTAGCAGAAAAGATACGTAATTAACTGGTCAGGTGCTAGGCATCAACTGATGATTTATTTACATAAAACGATCGAAATGTGCAGACATGCACAGAACTCAGAAAAAGGGTATGACGGCGCTACTAACGCATCTACCTGCAATAACACTTTAGGTACACAGTTTAATTTTTGAATCCTAGGGACAAAGCCCCAAAGAAAGTTAATTTCCAGTGTTTAACTCCAGTCTTTTGATACGGATGATGGCCCCTAATGTAATTTTGTGCAAAGCGGCATATCTTTCACTAGATAACGGTCTATTGTCTCAGGGACTCCACAAAACCAACAATTAGGGGAAGCAGCCAGACGAGCTTTGTGCAAATAAAAATTGGGATAAGGAGTTTTACACCGCAGCTCAGTAATAGCAACTTCAACTGCATGCGTGTGACATATTTTACTGTTCTAACAATGATTTAGGTGTTTAAATTTCATTGTGTTCATTATGAACGGTAAAGAAAATTCTTCTAACATCATTTTGCTCTTAAATCTAGTCTTTATAATAAATTTAGATGCTGGTAATAAGTGGATAAGCAGGCCATTTAACAATGACATAGCTAAGGCATCCGCCATTTCATTGAGAAAAACTCCCGTATGCCCTGGTACCGAAACCAACTTGACCTAATATATATCCCATAGAACTGATGATTTGAAAGCGATGCGAGCCTTGGCTTCATGTGGCACCGCCAAGTACCGTCTTTATCTTTTTTCTTTTGCGATGGCGCGCTCTCCGTTTTGCACGCCATTCAACAAGAGTGCTGCACTAACATGCGCAATAGGCAGCTTTGATGTGCTTGCACATAAAGGCTCTCTCTCTATCTAGCATGAAAGACAAAGTGTCTAGTACGTAGTCATATTTGCAAGATATTTCAGCGCGCGAACAAAGGAAAAAGGACAGGGTAGACAGAAACAGCGCTGACTTCCAACTAACTTTATTTCACAGAGTGGAAAGAATATATACTGCTAAAAAGGATGATAACAGAGCATGAAGGTAAAATGCACGCCTAATCTGCACATCAGTAACAAAACACGTGTGACAGGTCCTCTATTGCCTCAAAGCCCAGCTAGGTAATCACGTTCAGCCTGTGATAACGCAATCGATGATGTGCCTACACATTTATCTCCTAGCAAGTGTATTTTTTCGGCTTCAATAATTTCTCGGGTAAGCTGGTCCCTGTGCCTTGCCAATATTGAGCACTGATCAAAGAGAGGGGTGCACCCACAATCTCGGCAATGAATGCCAAGATGCCCTTGTACCACATTGTGCACATTGTTTCTGTGTTCTCGGAGGCGGTCATTTATGCACCTGCCGGTTTGCCCGACTTAGATGCACCCACGTGTCAGTGGAATCAAGTAAACGACTCCCACTGCGCATGGGACGTAGCGTGTCCTGTGCGCGACAGAGCACGAGGCAGAATTTGCACGAGGTGCATTGACCCGTTTGCAAAGCCTCTGCAATTTTTCCGGGGCAGAAATAACCACAAAAACGTTGGCGTCTCGAGCAGTCTTTTTTAGCCTGTGTGATACGTCGTGCACGTAAGGCAGTACGACAGGCCGGCTCTTTCTGACACTGTTTCGCTTATCCGGTTTGTCGCCTCGCTTCAAGACAGTGACCAGCTTTTCCACCACCGAAACGAGAACATGCGCGGGGTAACCAGCTTTGGTAAGCCGCTCTACTTGTAGAGCAAAGCTGTGGTGTACCATGTGGGGGCATGACTTCTTTAAGGCATTGACAAGG